TGAGGAGCAGACAGAATGGTGACCAGAAGCATTATAGGAAGCAGTTGAGGATGATAGGAGGGGAAAGAGCACAGCATTGATTCAAGATGTGAAGGTTTTGGTGTCAGCAGGAGGCTAACAGCTGCTCCAAACCTCGTGGCTTGAAAAGGTTATTCTGGCAGCCATATATTGTTCAGTTGTTAGTGCTTTTTGCTAATAGATAACCCTGGGTGTCTTGCAAGGCAGGGGAATATGTTCTGAATGCAAAATCCCATTTGAATAAATTATGTTTAGTGCATTAAAAACTTAACAGTTTGCTTATAATCATAAATTGGCCAGTATAACAATCTTTTGTGAAACACTATAGTATGTCATAATGACACACTTTCACTAGCCAGTAACTGCTACAGTTAGCTGGAGTTATCTCCTAGACCCAGCTCAATCATGGATTGCTAGTTAATAAAGTTCTCTACTGTACCTTGGGCACTCTGGTAGTCTCGAGGTTAAGGGGCCAACCTCGCTTAAAATTCCTTCATTTTTAGAAAATGTATCAAAATATTACAAACTGTATTTTGGTTCCTTCCTATTCCAACATTGCCTTGCACCTTCATTACGTCGTAAACACTTAATGTAAATATTCAAAGTCGATGTTTAAGTTCTTGCTTGCAGATGTATATGTCATGACGGTTTCTTGTAAATAGTTTTACATATTTAGAAAACTTAAGAAACGTTGGGATTTCCACAAAATAAAGTTGTGTGAGTTTAACACTGGTTAACATGGAATGAGTTTGTAAATTGATTCACAGCTTATGAAAAGGGATTTGTCATGTCAGGGTGGGCGGGTTAGTAAGCATTGTTTGCCAGGGTTTGTGATGTTATTATGGTGTTGCAGCTGTGAGAAATAAACAAAGCTTTATTAAGACTGAATGAGAATTGCAAAATCAGTAAAACTCACATTTAGAATTCAGTTCTTTTGTCTAGAGTCAACAGATTTTCTCGAACAAAGTAGTGAAAGATTGCGATGTTAAATCACAATATCGGGAGTTTAAGACTTGCCTCCTCATTTAGATTGCTGCCACCTCAGTGTGATTGACAGCAGCTGAATGTCTGCTTGGCCGAAACACATCAGTCATGGCATTATTTGCTGAAACAGCACTTAGTGGGTGTTAAATAATGGCTGTCACTTGAAGCCAGAACAGAAAGTGTAGCTGAATAGTAAGCAATACATGACTCATTTCCACAGTTGAAAAAATATGGATGATAAATGTAATCTTGACAGAATGTGGTGGCAGCTCAACCTAATGATGTATGGCAGCATATGTTCTCAATGTAACCCTCCTGTGGTGAAGTTATTCTTCCCAATGTAGGTTTTAATGGACAACTTTTTTCCTTTAATGATTCTTCAGATTGCTACTTTGGGATCATAATGATCTGCATGGGTATATTTTAATATTAATATGTTGCTGATTATGTCTGTGTCTCCTTGTATAGATTAATTATAGCTGCAGATACTTACAAATGGCTGTGATATGTTTGTATTTACTCCATTTAATTAGTTTGGCCTTATGTGATAATAGATGGATGGCACCGAATGTTACATTTCAGCTGCTTTACCGTAAATGAGCAGCGAAATGTGGATATTTGTGAATAAAAGGATGAATAACTACATGGTAGGGGAGGGATATTGGTGGTCTAATGGATATTGAGGTGGGCTGAAGATCGGAAGGTTGTCAGTTCAAATCCCGCCAGGAACACCACCACGTGTGCCCTTGAGTAAGGCACTTCGTCCTTAGTTACTCCAGGGAGAATGTCCCTGTAATTGGTAATTGTAAGTCACTTTGGATAAAAGCGTCAGCTAAATGAAATACATATTACAAATCTTGTGTGCTTAAATAAAGTACAGTAATATCATAAATGAAAAGGTAATCACCATTAGTTTACAAAAATATAATAAACATTCTCAAAGAATAAGCTCACTATATTTTACTTTTGTTAAACGATTTCAAATAAGCACACAGTCTGTTTTTAGCCTTCAGTCCCACTCTGAAGTGTTTTCACAGATTTTCACAACCTTTTTGGAAGCAGGGGCAGCTGGAAAGACTTGCTTTGTTTGTTCTTCACCTATTCCAATTATAGAGCTATACCCTACCGTGGAGTGGGCATTACGATTTCAGAGGACCCTGCATTATGAAGAGGATAAGCCCAGCCGGTGACAGTGTGTGTATCAGGGAGTAGATAAGGTCATGAGCTGGCAGAGGAAGAGGAGGTGGAAGTTTAGAGTGAGGTGAAAGAGGAGGAGGACAGAGATGATGATTGTTTCCGTAACCCTGTCTCTGCCAAGTAGCTCAGTTGTTCATTCAAAGTGATCCTGGACTGCATTCATCCTGCTTAATTACTAAGCTCCAGTCATAAGATTGCTCTTTGCAGAATTGTGTGTGTGTGTGTGTGTGTGTGTGTGTGTGTGTGTGTGTGTGTGTGTGTGTGTGTGTGTGTGTGTGTGTGTTGAGGCTTAAGTGGATTTGTGCTTGTAATGAGCTTTGTGAGGTGATGAGTGGAACTTTGTCGTTCGATAGGCTGCAGCACGACATAAAGTCACAACCTTGTCCAACGTAAAGACGGGGAACTAATCAAAAGGAGATAGATCACCGAGTGGATGACATTAGCTTTATACTGTAGGGGTTAGGGAATGCACACAACTTTGTTAAATTACTTTTTTATCGGTAAAGGGTTTAGACACAAAATCTACTGGTGGTCAAACTATTTGTATTCATGTGAAAAAAAACAAATTGGAGATAAGCAATGAGATATTATAAAGACAAAAAATTCAAATCAATACTCTTTTTAATTACATTTAGATTTGTTCTCTCCTTCTCCAGTCTCATAATTAGCCATTGTGTTCTCTTTCCAATCCTCCGTTATACGGTATCTTTCAGTAAACTGTAGCCTTTTAATGTGATTCAACCTCCTCGCATGGCCTTAAAGACCATGCTTGATGGTGAGGCTCTATGTGTGTGTACGTGGAAACTCTCCCCTCTAGCGTGACTTATCTGGATACTTTTGAGCTGTGAGTTTGATTGAAAGCTTCCCACAGCCTTTGTGCTGGTTGTTTTTCCTTAAATAGTAAATCTGTGATTTGTGTGATGTTAGGGTTAGGCTCAACTCACTCCCACGGACAAAGTAATGGTGATGCCTGCCACCACTATGGCAGTACAACTATGTCTGAGAATAACTTAATGGCAACTTAATCTTATAGGTAACTTCAAACTCCTTTTCCTTTAAAGGAGACATGTCATGCTTTTCCGGTTATTACCCGTTCCTTTGTGTGTTATGAAGGTTTTTATGCATGTAAACAGTCTGCAGTCAAAAACCCTCAAAGTACACCCTGTAGGGAGTAAAACTCTAACACAGAAAAGACCTCTCCAAAACGTCTCGTTGGAGATTTCTCATGTTCTTCCTGGGCATTGTGACGTCTGAATACCCAGTAGCCACGCCCAGAGCTATGACCAGGCTGATTGGTCCAAATGAACCAATCCACCTTCTTCCTCACACACACACTCAGTGCAAGCAGCTCTGCTGATCTCTCCTCCCTGGCTGCAGGCTGATAACAGACAGTTGGGATCGTGGCGAAATTCTCTCTGCAGACCCATTCTCACAGCGTTTATCAACCTTCTTCTTACTCAATATCAAGCCACACTTATTCGGGGGGTCTGGAGCTATTGGAGCTACAACGAGCCGTTAAAGGCAGAGAGTGAAATTCAGTGAATACACGTAGTTTACAGAGATGCTGTATGAGAAACCAATGTGAGTTTGGAAAATTGCACAATATAAATCTATTCTAGTAGACCTCAACAATGGAATTATGATCAGTGGAAATGGCCATGACATGTCTCCTTTAATATTGTGACAACAGTGTAGAGTTTGTATGTCAAAATCCTGATAGGGTACAGCTCTTGGAGCAGATAATGCATTGTTAATGTCTTTCACTCTGCGATGTGTGTTGGCCAGTCAGAACATGCTGTAAAGTGTTTGCCTCACTCGGAGGAGCAATGAAGTCTCTTCCTTACAAGTTTGTGTTTGTAGGGCTTAAAGCTACATTTTTCTGGCTAAACAGCAACCAAAGCTGTGGTAAAGCATCAGTTCCTAATTGATGAGGGGCCAGTGTCCCTCAGTAGTGAAGCAGCATCTGTGCATCTGAACTTTTACATTTGGTGTATTTATAATTGTATTTTACAAATGGCTAAACTGTTGGCAGCAGTGTAGTGTTCCAGTTCAGCAGAAATCGTCTGACTAACAGCCCCCCCCCCCACACCCACATGAGTTTGAATTTGCTGGCTGTTCATTTAGTGTACGCCTGAGTGTGTAAAACTGATGAGTTGCCTCTGCAAATGTGGTCCTAAAATAATCACAGAATCAATTTAATGGGTGCGGTGTAAGCACATTTTGTCAGTGACTTAATGAGGGTCTACACAGATACTTTTATTCGGGAGCTTTTTTTATGTAGAGTGGAATATTTTAACAATCCTTAAAATATTTTCTTGTACATAATGAGATCGTTTAACAAGATGCTAGTGTTACGTATAAGGACAAGTTGTGCTTTGAATCCAGCACTAATGTAGTTTTAGGAGTTGGGACTTTCGTTAATTTGTACCGATCTGTATCCACTGTATGCATTCCAAGGATTCCTGGATCAATGTATGCTCTTGTCTTCCCAGTGACAATTAAATCGTTTCTCATTTCATTACAAGTCGATTCTAATCCAGGAGCACATCCTGCCGTTTTTCTTTGTGTGTTTAATGAAATGGGAAAAACAAATGATGTGCTCTGCATGTAAGTAACGATATGAGTCGTCATGTCTGCCAATCTAGAAATCTTGTTAAACTCCCTGCAAACAGAGAGGAAGAAAAAGTGGCAAATCTTATTTCTTGATTAAAAACAAGAACAAAATGGCAGTGTATTGGGATTTAGCATGCGTGTAAGCAAATAAACCTCATGTTCTCATGTGTACTTGCTTCTGTTTCCAGGTGAACACAGCCATGCATGAGGCCAAGCTGGTGGAGGAGTGTGATGAGCTGGTGGAGATCATCCGCCAGAGGAAACAGGTCATTGCCGTGAAGATCAAAGAATCCAAGGTAAAGTCTAACCAGGAAGCCTTCAGACCCTTTTCCGTTTTCAGCTCATAGTATGTAAATTATATACAGACTGTTTTTATTAAATTCCTATCGTTTTCTAAGTAAAGCTATTCCAACAATTACGCCACACTGACAGTTGAAGCAGCCAAATTGGCCACAACATATTTAAGGAACTCGACTGGAGGTCATCCTCCACTTGTGCAGAATCAGTGTTTTTGTACCAGACAATAAATATGACAGCAGCAGCACTGTGGGTAGAACATATTCATTATAATATCTGTTATTTGTTGGCTGTCTCTGTAGTTCTCCACTTGTTATCCCAAACAAACATCACATGCAGGCGAGGAAAAAGAGAGCAGTAACGACCTCTTTTATGTAAACAGACCATCTGAATGCGTGAAAGTAAAAGCCTTCATGGCAGATGATTGCAGCAAAGACTGTTTTGAAGTTGCTGCAGGAAATACTGTCCAGACATTTACAGTACGTGTGTGTGTGGACATACACTTTATGGGTGGTTCGTTGACGTTTAAGGGCTTCAAGACAGAGGCAAACTCTTAATCTCACTCTCCCAGAGGTGAAGCTTTAAGTGCTCGTGGAAGATCCTCTGAGGCAGCAAAAGAGCTTTGTCGAGAGATGAAAGATTTCCAAACACTGAACCCAAGGACCGCAGTAGGTGTGTGAGTGTGTGTACGGGTGAGATAGAGAGAGCAAGTGTGTCAGAGTGTGTCCGCGGTGATTGCAGACAAAAGGAGCGAGGCTGGTTCTCCTGAGAGTCTTGCTCTGTAAAAAGGCTGTCTGGTAGAGGAGGGAGATGCAGGAGTCACAGGAAAGAAGGAAGTGCACAGGAAACACCAGAGGAGCACTTGATTGATGCCAGCCTGCAGGGTACTATTTGAGTGTTTTTAGGGGTCAGGAAAAGATGAATGAAATGCACCGTGAGTATTTCAATTAATCAGAAGTGTGTTGAAATAGATATTTGAGAGGAGAAAAAAGTAGAACACTACAGCAGGTTGAGTAAGGGAAGGTTGTTTAAGGCATTTTAGCTCAAAGTGTTGCAAAGGAAATGTTGAGAGGTGAGACGCAGCAGGATAACAGGATTATGAAGGTGTGATGATGGCGAGCTGAGCACGCTGCTCCTATTTTCTCCCTGAGGAGACTCAGCAGACATGCCTAATCTCTCCCTGCACAAACAAAACACACACTTTTCCCAACTTCTGGTGTGTGTAAGAGCGTCTTCATCATGTGACTGTGCTTGGCTTTTCTCTGTTAACTATTTAACTCTTCTGGAGCCTTGAGGATTAACAACTCAAATCTGTTTAGGGTGTTTAGACAAATCACTTGATTTCCATAAAACAGCAGAGTCGTTTTTACCTTCAGTTTACAAGGTTATGGCTAGTAGATGTAAAAAACAACAGCATTAGACGTTTATTTAAATAAAAACCTGTCTGATTACATTTACCTAACAATAATCTGTGTGTGTATTGTCTCAGCACTGAAATCCTCTTAATGTGAAGGTCACACTGGATTGTTTGGTGTACAAAGCATGTGACTTCTGTTCGCATCCAGCTTCCTGCGCACAGCCCAAGTTGGTTTCTACTTATAAGTATCTTTCAAGAAAAATGCAAACATGAATGGTTAATATAATAAACAATTTGGGAAGGGTAATTGTTTTCTTTCCAGTCAGAAGTATAATAATAATTTATGGTATTTATTTTTGTGCTTTTCCAAGTGGTCAGATTGCTTTAGATTAGATATATTAGAGATCTAATACACTCAATACGGTGGACAACACACACAGGAGCAATTTAGGGTGAAGTGTCTTGCCCAAGGACACACGGCATGTTGACTGCAGTGGTGGGGAAGGTGGGATTGAACCTGTTCTTCCCCGGTCCCCCGATCTGATGATCAGCACTCTAAAGCACTGCTCTAGGATGAGAAGATACCACTCTCACTGTCTATACAATAACATATTCATTATAGCTGGAGCTAGCAGCTGGTTGGATTTGCATAACATAAAATAAGCATAGAGTTTAGAGTGGAAAGAGAGGGGAGATAGAAAGCACGGCTAACCAAGTTAACCAATGAGATGCAAATAAGTATTGAGCACAGAACAGATCTTTGTTTGCTCAAAATAACTTGTTTCTTGTGCAACAATAATTACATTTGTAATTGTTAATGTAATTAATGTACTTGTAAAATGTATTTGTTGTGCTCAAAATGTCCCACTATCCTGAACATATTAGTTATGATTATACATTTATATTTCAGCTTTAGACAAGATTGCCTTTATACAACATGAAATACTCACACACACACACACACACACACACACACACACACACACACACACACACACACACATCATATTGGCCATTATTCTTAGAGAGAGGGAGTAATCATTTCTAAAATTGTTTGTTTCAGCACATGTTACCAAACAATAACGCGTCCATTAAACCTGTCTCGCCTCTCTTTGTTCAGACATCATGCTGCTCAAATGTGTTTTGTAGTGAGAACAGATAACAGTGGACTTGTTTGAAGAGCAGCTAAAACATCATATTCATTATTAGATACTGTTTTGATTCTTTAAGAGCTTTTGATGACAAGCTTTTAACCAAATGCCACCCAGTCATTTTTCTGAGTTCTTGTTTGCATAATTCAAGCCCTTCAAGCAAAGCATTTGCTGCTGAAAATATAAATGACTAAGCCTTTCAGGGTACTCATCATTTCAAATGTTTTTATTTCTTTCTTTTGTGTTTATGGACTCAAGTTGTTAGCTGTTACTGAAAATATGCTTTTTTCAGACAATAAAGCAACTTTAATGACCGACTGGCATTTAAAGTTCACCGAGGTTTCATTTAATCATCATTGCAGACAGGCTCCACACACTAAAGCTGGTATTTATTTCTACAGCCCAGTTCTTGTTGACTTTCTCTGGGCTCACTAGCAGCCACTGTTGTTTCCTATTACATCAAACTAAGTTCATTTGAGGAATCAGGATATGAGCCGAGATGAAGATAAATGGATTACATTAATGTGAAATAATCATAGAATGGTTTCCTTATGCTGAGTCGGAAATTGAGTTACAGTACAGCCACTGAACATTACAGTATAAACAGAACGAATGGCAGGAGCCTGTTTGTGTGTTGGTCTAACGTCTGAACCCTGACCTGACTGATGACCTTTCTCTTGATGTGCACAGCTTGCTTGTTTGTGGTGAAGATGAAGCAAGTCAATATGAGCATCTGTGGGCCGAAATCCCCATTTCTTGTCTGGTTTTCAGAGCATGACATTTCCTGCAGCTGCCTGTGCTGGAACATTCTGAACATGCACAACAGTTGCACTCGAGGGAGTCCATGTAAAAGTGGTATTGTACTTGATGACAAGAGTAATAATAGTTTACAAGTCAATTTTGCAAGTACTTTGCTAGTTTATAGACAAACAAGGACACATACAAATTATAATCCTGTAGGGTTTCCTTAATGTTATTATATCACAATTTGAGCTGTGACCTGTACACATGTTAATGAGGTCGATGTGAGCATGAAGAGCCAATGGCCTCGCTTCAACCCTCAAATCATAACCAGGGCTCTGTCCTCCATTCTTGTTGCATATGTCCACATCACTGCGTCTATAAGCATGCTTGCGTGGAATATAGAGGGTTTTTGGTAGTGTATGACAGCCATCCGTGAACATGTGGATTTTTTAAGTTTTTGGGATGGGTTATAATGTAGAATGACCTCCTAATGCTGACTGTTTTCTTTCGTTCATCAGCTCTACACATAAGCTTTCAATAATGCCCTGTACTCACTGCTTTAACAAGTTAAACAAATGAACTTGTATGTAAAGATTCCTCTGGCAAGATAGTGTCCCCATAGAGGTTTTCTTTTTTTTAGTATTGTAATAAAACTTCAGCTATATTGAAAGTCTGCAATATGACAACTTATTGGCTTCAAACACATGGTGTGATAGGAATGCTGTCTCTCGATCAGTATTTAGCAGTTTGGCAGCAAAGCTTGATGATATTTTCTAAGTGTTCAACATATGTTTGGATTAGCGAGTGTCACAATGATGAATGCCTCATACTGAGGGACCAGGAGCAAAAGCGATGTATTTCATAAGGCTTTTGTGAGCTAATGGAAATATATCAGCGTTTCACAGCATAACCACACGTCTGTATTTGTGTTTGTTCCAGGTGATGAAACTGCGTAAATTGGCCCAGCAGATTGCAAACTGTCGCCAGTGTCTGGAGCGCTCCAGCGCCCTCATCACACAAGCCGAACAGAGCCTGAAGGAAAACGACCATGCCCGCTTCCTCCAGACCGCTCGCAATGTAGCAGAAAGGTGTGTGATTAAACTTTGCTGTTACAGTGTTTGTTTGGAGGTGATATTGTAGTTTGTTTGTAATATTTGACAATGTACATCAGTGGTGAGAGACATCAGCAGCACATCAATAGACTATTCAGAAGAAAAAAGACACAACACCCGCCCCGTGGTTAAATGCACAACATGTGGTAAGACAGATAGATATTAAAAAACCTATCCTGCAATTTTCCTCTCTTCTGGAAATATGATCTTGGAAAAAAAGGAATGAAATATGCATTATACAACATTTCTTTAACTCCTCCAATCAATACCAGGCCTGTGGTAAAAAAAAACACCTCTAAGTGCCGAGCTCTGCGGTTTCACTTTCCACCTGCGTACTCTAATTCTAATATCTTCCTACCACCACAGCTTTCTCTCACAGACAAAGGTCTCTGCAAAATCTGCTGCTAGTATAGCATCTTTTTATTTGGCCTACACTCTTCTTTTTCCCATTACCTGGCTGGGTACTTTATTGAGCGCCTTTTTCCTCGGGGGGAGAGAAAGCAGAATCTCTGGCCCGCTCTGTAACCCTGCCAGCTCCCGCCTCAGACTGAGGCTCAGAGCAGAAGTAGGCACAAGTCTCTTCAGAGCAGCACAGACTGTGTAGTCAGTGTGTGTCTCCGTTTGAGTTTTGATGGCTCTCTTGGTTAACACAAAACTCTGAGGTAGTGATTGTTTATAGGGCATGTTGCAGACTTGGTTTTTTATTATATATTTTATTGCTTTAAATTTCCGTTCCGCCTCCTAACTCTCGCCCTTATCATTTTCTCACTATCTTCCTCCTCTCTTCCTTTTATCACAACACTTCCTCCCCCTCTCTCCTTACATTTGTCCACCTCTTCATCACCTTTCATATTTGACTACCCCTCTCCTCTTTGACTCTCTTCACCTCAACTGACGTCTCGGCCCTCCTCCCCCCCCTCTTCACTCTAACTCTCCCCGGACATTTCTATTTCCTCACTCCCATGTCCCGCTCTATAGGGTTGCCATGGCGACGGCCTCCTCCCAAGTACTCATCCCTGACATCAACCTGAACGAGGCGTTTGACAACTTTGCCCTGGACTTTTCCCGAGAGAAGAAGATCCTGGAAGGACTGGATTACCTAACTGGTAGGAGCTGTGTGTTTACAGTATCAGCATTAAAACATGTATGCACTGAAGCTAAAGCAGCCTTTCCATCACTTAGTTTAAAACGTTTTTAAAAAATGATTTATTTATATATTTGATCTCATGTCATGCGCGTTACCCAACCATTATAGGTTTTAAAAGACACCAAAAATACAGTTGCAGTGGTCAAAACATTTCATTTTATTAGATTTAATTACAAAATGTAGGGTTTGTTATCTTGAAGAGTCAAACTAAATATTCAGTTTTCATCCAACCTTGCCAAACTGTTCCTTTTACTTTTTATATAACTATATTTTGTGAGTTGTTGATTCTCCAGTGCATTTAAATGTGGATTTTATGCTTATCTTGACACAGGACCCATTTTCTCTCCTAGTGAATACTACTAACCCTAACCCTATTATTGAAACCAGTTTGTTGACACCATTTTAACTTGTTTTTACTATAAATCATGTTGTTTTTTCCATGCCTAGCTCCCACCCCTCCATCCATCAGAGACGAGCTCTGCACCGCCTCTCACGACACCATCACTGTTCACTGGACGTCCGAGGACGAGTTCAGCGTCACCTCCTACGAGCTGCAGTACACCATTTACACCGGCCAGACAAATTTCATCAGTGAGTCTTTGCACACTCAGACACACAGAACATGTCATCAGTACTGCAGATAGCATGCACTCATTGTCTGAGCATGTAAGGAATTTCATGTTTAATTGGGTTTCAGGAACAGCCAGGGGATTACTCTGGGATTTCTTTAATCAAGGTTTGGCCAAAAGGGATCAGATACTCTGTTGACCTGTGTTTAAATACCATACAAATTTAATTTGTCAGGGAAATGGGAAAAGGGCTGAAATATTAGATTTTCTTTTCATGTCGTTTTCAAAGTAAGAAGTTCCTTTAAATATCAAACTGGGTATTTAGAGCTTTTGAAGAAAGAGCCGCCCTTAAGTTGCCTAAAAATGGTTGGAAATACATGATTCAAAATGCACTCTGCTAACATGGAGGCTCCTTGTATATGATAAGAGCAGAATGACTGCATGGTTCCTCGATATAGAGACCAATGGACTCTCCGATAGTGCATCAATCGAGTTTTAATCACTTTTATCGAATGCTTTCAAATTGAAAGAGCTTTTTAAGTAAGACAATTTAACTTTTGAAAGAAGAAATAACACAAATATTCCTCTTAAAATACATAATACAGAATTTTCCCTGTAAACACTTTTCTTACTGCTTCAGCTTAAAGGTGACCTATCATGCAAAATGCACTTTTGTACGTCTTTTATACATGAATATGTGTCCCCCCCGGTGTTCCAGGGAACTCACCAAGTGTCAGAAAACACAACCCTCTCTATTTTCCTCCATACCCAAATCTCTTGAAAAGGGGCTGCAACGGATCTGATACAGACTGATCCAGATTTGAACACTTCTATGACGTCACAGAAGTGGCGCTACGGCTATTGGGCCAACTCCACCAATCAGGAGGAGACAGCCACGGACATTGCCGTTCGAAAGCGCTGGAGACGCTGTAGTACATATGCCAGGCC